TGTTTGGCTTCATGAGTGAGGGGATTGGATTAATAGTGAAGGAGGGCCATATAGAGAGTATTTGATTGTAAAAGATTGTGATGGGATAAACACTCTAAGGACATGTTTGTTTGGGCGGACTAGATTAGATTGGATTAGTATTTTCATGACTAATAATCCTCAAACTACAAATCCCTTTGGATTGTATATCATATTCTATGTTTGGATTGAGTTAGGATTATAATGAGGGATTAGCAAAATATTATCCAATTTGATGTTTGTTTAAGAGGATTGAAATGGATAGAACATAACATGACATGAGATATCTAATATATTGACCATAATACCCCTATTATAATTATTGTAAAATTTTGCACTAGCATGTGTTATAATTTTTAAAAAGCAAATTTCCCTATTGTTGCTTCACATCCATTTCAATTCATTTGAACAAAATTTCACCTACTTTTTTTTTAAATAGACAAAATAAAAAATCATTCAATTATAAAATTTATATATACATAAGCAAACATTAAAAAAATACACTGCTATTTTAATCACCAAATCATTTATTGCCCAAATTCAAAAAAGTACTTATTTGAACAAAATTTAACCTATACTTTTTTTAATAGATAAAATTAAATATCATTCAATTATAAAATTTATATATACACAGTCAACCATCAAAAAATTTGTACTACTATTTTAATCATTAATTGCCCAAATTCAAAAAAGTATTAATTTGAACAAAATTTAACCCCTTTTTTTTAATAGAAAACATCAAAAATCATTTAACTATAAAATTTATATACACAAGCAACCATTAAAAAATATGCACTATTATTTTAATCATCCAACCATTCATTGCCCAAATTTAAAAGGGCATTCATTTAAACAAAATTTAACTCTTTTTTTTTCGGACAAAAAAATATCAAAAATCATTCAACTATGAAATTGTTGGCTACATATTTTGTAAAAGCCAGTTACAGTTCGACACGTGGCAGAGTAAGGGTAATAAAGGGAGTTTATTCAAGCCTTTAATGCTGATCGTACACGTGGCAATAAATATTGGTCCTCATTCATTGAGGCTGAAAAGAACTAAAACACAATCGTCTGATAATTGGTTGGCAATCACAATTTCTGTAAGGACTGATTGATCCTTGCTGGCACGCTCACATTTACAAAAATACCCTTCGAAAAGCCAAAAAGCCAACAGAAATATAGCTATTTAAAAAAATAATGATATCAAAAAATATAGAAAACTGAACAAATATATTTATGAGAAGATGCATACAAAATACCAATTGTAGATTGGGATGTAATCGGTTCGGTACAACCGGTATTTAGGTAAAAAATTACACTGAACCGATAATGTCGGTTTTATTATTTTAAACATCGATACAGGCCGCTTCTCCTATCAAACCGCACCGAACCGAACTGATTGAAACGGTTCGATTTAGTGCGGTTTAATCGGTTTAGGATTTTTCAAACTTGAGTCACTTTTAAATATAATCATTAATCTATATAAAAATATAAAATTAGTTATTACATATCCAATACATCCATTTAATACATATTTTTCAGTTCCCAAATTAACAAAAATAAAAATCAAAAAAAGTTTAAAAATACTAAAGTTTCAAAAATAATGAGTTAGAGTTAAGATTATATAAAATAAGAGTTTACAAACTTAGATTATAAAGATGATAAGATTAATTAATTAAGGTTAATAATTTATTATACTTATTAATATTATTATATTATTAGATCATAAATATATTATACATACAATATATGTTGAAGCAGTCGGTTTCGATTTAGATCGGTGCATAAGGTGCATAAACCGATACCGAACCAAAAATCGAAAAAATTCAAATTTAAAAACTGCACAAACCGATTCTTATTAAAAAAACAAACTAAATATAGCCGGTTTGGTCCGATTCAATCGGTTTGGTTGGTTTTTCTTACACCTCTAATTGTAGACATGTTGAATTAAAAGTCTGTGGAAGTAGTTCATAATTGTTATAAGTAATAATATTATTGTTCTTAGATCATCTTTAGCAAGGAATATGTCAATATCATGTTCTCAGTTGCATTTTGAAATTGTTTTGGGTTTTTTTTTTAAAAAAAGTATTTAAAAATTTTCTTAATTTTTAAAAATATTTACAAATTTAAAAAAAAAAATTGAACTTCTTTTTTTAAATATTTAAATGAGGTAAAAAATAAAATCTATTAGTTATGATTTCCTAAGACAACAATAGCACAAGATTACAGTTGTAGTGATATTTCTTCTTTGAAAATTAGCACTGATTTTGGAAAGATAGAGAAGGTAGAGACGAAACTCTGCAAAATCAAACTTCTTCAAATATATATATAGTCAGGGTTAATTTGGTTATTTAATGAGTTAGTCCAGACTTTGGCTTAGGCTCCGTTTGGTAGGCAATTCAAATTATAGTTCCACTCATTGATTTGAGTGTGTTGTTTGTTTTGAGCTTTCAAATCATAATTCTACACCTATTTTTCAAAACTCATAACCAAACACACAATTCAAAATTCTTTTCAAAACTCAATTCAAATCAATATTTTAAATATTTTAATATTTAAATATGTTATGATTTTTTTTAATTTTTTTAATTTTTTAAAATATTTTAATTTCAAAATATTACGATTTTAATTTTTTTAATTTTAAAATATTTTATAAAAAGAAATTCAAACTCTATTTTATAAAAATATTTTTAAATATTTTAATTTTTTTGTTATGTATTTGGTTACGATTTGAGTGTAGAGTTGTAAAAGTAATATGGAGTTTCGAGTTATGTGTTTGGTTATGAGTTTTAAAAATAATTTCTTAATTGAGTTTTGTTTTATATGTTTGGTTACGATTTGGGTGTAGAGTTGTTTTTAAATTTAAAATATTAACATTTAAAATTATTTAAATTTTTTGAATATTTAAATTATTTAAATTTTTACGATTTAAATTTTTTGAATATTTATTTTAATTTTTTACTTATTAAATTTTTTAGATTATTTAAATTTTTATGATTTAAATTTTTTGAATATTTATTTTGAAAAAAAAATATTTCCTTTGTAGTATTTTGAATTGAAAAATTGATTAATGTTATTTTCTACTAATAACATATTTTTTTAATTGAATTTTAAAAAAAGTTTGGTTATGAGTGTTGATCATAATTTTCAATAGTGTGAAAGTAGTGTGTTTTATTATGAGTTATAACAATTTGAATTAAATTTTGAAAACTCTTTCCAAAGCTCATAACCAAACAAATTTTCTTACTTCACATGTTAAATCAAACTTTCAAAACTCAATTCCACACTCAATTTAAAACTCAATTCAACAATTTATTTAAAAATCATAACCAAACAAATTTTCTACACTTAGGCACCGCTTGGGAAGAAAAAAGTCAGGCTTTTTTGGCTAAAATAACCACAAAAAACAAAATAGGCTATTTTAGCCACAAAAAACAAAATAGTCAAAAAAGCCTGAAAAAGCTCTTCCCAAACGGACCCTTAAATCATAATTTCACAACTTACAAACTCAAAAATACAACTCATACTCTCAAATAATATTTACAAAACTCTACCAAACGCAACCATTGTTTCTTTCGTTTTAAAATATTATTTAGTGTTTTATTTTATTTTTTATTATTCTAAAATATTAGTTGCTTTTCAAAAATTAAGTATAAAAATAATATAAATTTCTTATTTTATCCTTCTTTTAAATTCATTAACAATATAAAAAGTACAATTATGATATTGATATTCCTCAAAAATATACTATCAAAGGGTATTTTTAGAAAATTAATTTTTTAAAAGTGTAATAATTGTACTACCAAAAAAATTAAATTTTTCAAAAAGAATTATTATTTTGAGACGGAAGGACTAATTAATTACAATGTTATATCATTGGAGAAGGGAAAAAAAAATCATTACAAAAAGTTAGGATTTCAGGATTAAAATTTTGAGATAAAATTAATTTTTAGGGATTAAAATTTTTTTATTGTGAAAAGTATCGTTATTATATTTTTAGTAACGAAAATTAGATATTAGTGATGAGTTATTATTTTTTTGGTATCAAATTTTTTGTCTCAAAAAATAAACTATTTTGAGATCAAATTATTTTGTTCCTAAAGTCCATTTATTAGTGACATTTTTAAAATTTTGTTCCTAAAAACCTTGTTTTTGACTTTTCAGGATTAGTTTTAGTGACTATCCCCACGATGATAGAAATTGATTTTTAAATGTCTTTTGTAATAAAATTTTTATTTTTAGATACTCGAAAATTTAGTCACTAAAACTCTTGTATATTGTAGTGACAATTTGTTTGCCAAATCAGTTATGGCTGACACTAATAGTTCTTTAATAAGGTTGTTGGAGATGCTCTTACTAACTTAAGAGCGAAAAGAAAAGAAATGATTTCATAAGTTATAAGAGAAAATAAAATAAAAGATTATGATTTCTATTTATTTTGTTTGGATAGATAAGAGAAAAAAGAAATGAAATGATATTGATTTCTCTCGTATCTCGTTTGGTTATGCTAAATAAAGAAAAAAGAAATGAAATGAAATGATATAATGTTATATGATGTTATATTACTAAATTAACTTTTTATAGGTGTTAATCTTTTCAGAAATGATACATCCCTTTAATTTTTGAAATCTCAACAGAGCTCTAATGATTTGACAATGAAAAAAAAAAAGAAAAAACACAAACATCACATCATTATGGGGCGCACACACTACTAGAGCTCTCTAGAGCTCTTCTTTTAGAGCTCCTAATATTTTTTCTAGTCTTTTTATTTGTTCCATATCTAAAAGGATAATTTTGGTATTATAACAAAATAATATTTAGTTGATTTCATTTCTTTTCATTTCTCTCTACTTTTGAAAATATTAAAAATAGGGGTTATGAAATAAATATATTTATCTTAATTTCTTTCAATTTCTCTCATATTTGATAATCCAAACAAGGGATTAAAATCATGTAAATGACAGATAGAGGTATTATTAAATTGTTACCATATTTGTGTTTAAATTCTGTATTGACATAAAATGTCATGCTTTGCGATTTCGTGGTGATTGCAGGATTGATGCACCTTCTATCTATCTTGGTATAGGTTACGAGAAGAGCCTATGATGTTGAAGTTACTATCAGGATAGCTGATATTCAGGTATTTTACCTAGAAACTAAGATTGAAATGTTACTGTGCGATCGGAAATTGAATGGTAGTGGTATGACGCTACATGTTTTAATGAAATTTTTACTTTGCCAATCAAAAAAAAAAAATGTTACATGCTTCGTCCCTCATCCCCCTTCCCAAAAGAAAGAGAAAAGAAGAGAGTAGTTTGTACTTGGTTCCTTAATTTTGTATGCTTTTGACAATGCATATCATTCCCCACTAAAAAAATTAATGGTTGGTTATTTGTTTTGTTATACAAAAATGCTATTTGTAGAGCAGGGAAAAAAAAGCAGGGAGGGAGGGAGGTTAGTAGGAGGGGAGATGTGCTTGGGACCATATGTGACAAGGTTACTCAGATACTAAGAGTGTTGTACTGTAATTAATGGAATCATTTGAGAGTATACACATTTTAGGTAATGTCTAGTGCAACTCACGTGCAAACTTCAGCAATACTTTCTAGACATTTTTTTTATTTTTATTTTTAAAATTCTGACTCATTGTGTGCAAAAAGTATGGTTATTTGAAAACGTGGCAAGTTTGAAAGAGTGATTTTTTCCCCCCCACATCTATGCCTTGCAATATGTATATTTCACTAGTTCACATGACTGATGGATTTATCCTGTGTGCCTTGGCTGTTTGTGCAACCTCTGGTAAGAAAGATGAGAAACAGGTGACAGTTTCAGATTCAGCATTTGATATCAATCACTATTGAGGTAACTGTTGAAGAACAGAAAATAAGCAAAGGATATGAAGAATTATGTTGTGTGGTCTTCCCCAGCTCCCCAGCCAGCATTTAAAAAATTTCTTAATTCAGATGTGTAGTCTTGTTACATTCTATTTGATTTAAGCCATTGGTACACATATTTCTAGATTTTGTAAGGGATAGTATTTTGTGTGTGAAAACTTAGTTAGGAACTAAGTACCGTATTATTCAAATTGAATGGAAACGAATTACAAGAAATATATATATAAAACAACTATGCTAACCCTAATTGCTACTACTGACTAAACTACCCTTAATACACACATGCTTAACACCCCCCTGCAAACTCATGATGTAACAGCAGGAAGCATTGAGAGTTTGTCAAGCAAAAAATGAAAACGCATGATAGTATGAGACTTGGTGAAGAAATCAGCGAGCTGCATAGTAGAGGAGACAAAGGGCAAGGACAACGTGGGAAGCTATAAGTGATGGCGGACAAAGTGGCAGTCAATCTCAATATGTTTAGTTCGCTCATGGAAAACAGAATTATGAGCAATTTGAATGGCACTGGTATTATCACAATACATAGGAGTAGGACTAGGGATGGAGACACCAAAGTCGGAAAGCAACCAACACAACCAGACAATTTCAACAGTGGTAGTAGCCATAGCACGATACATAGCCTCAGCAGGAGATCAAACAACAACAGTCTGCTTTTTGCTCTTCCAAGAAATAAGAGAACTACCCAGAAAAACACAAAAGCCCGTAGTAGACTTACGGTCCATAGCATCACCAGCCTAATCAACATCAGAAAAAGTACGAAGATCCAAAGAAGAAGTAGCAGAGAACAATAAACTCTGATGTAAGGACCCACGAAGGTAGCGCAAAATACGAAGAACAACAGTCCAATGAACAGTAGTCGAGGAAGAAACAAACTGACTGACAATATGAACAGCATAGGCAATGTTGGGCCGAGTAATGGTAAGATAGACAAGGCTGCCCCACTAGAATCCGATATAAGGTAGGATCAGGCAAAGGGACACTGTCAATGGAAGTATAGTGCACATTAAGTTCGAGAGAAGTGTCAACAGTGCGGGAGTCGGTCAACTTGGCCCGCTGAATAACATCAGTTGCATACTTGGACTGAGATAGAAGATAACCACGAGGCGAAGAGGCCACCTCAATGCCCAAAAAATAACGAAGTGAACCAAGATCTTTTATCTCAAAATGATGACGTAAGTGAGCCTTGAGAGCAGAGATTACCATGTCGTCAACATATAACAAAAGAATAATGAGCCCCGGAGAAGTGGAGCGCAGAAAGAGAGCCGAGTCATGAGCACTGGTACCAAAACCCAAGTCACAAACAACAGTAGAAAATTTCTCAAACCAAGCCCGAGGAGCTTGTTTGAGACCATATAAAGCTTTGCGAAGATGACAAACTTCACCAGGTGCATGAGAGAGCCCAGGAGGAGGGACCATAAAGACTTCCTCAGCTAAGTCACCGTTGAGAAAGGCATTCTTGACATCCATTTAAGAGAGATGCTAGTGACACACAGCAACTACGGCAATCAAGGTACGAACAATGGTCATTTTGGCAACCGGAGCAAAGGTCTTCTCATCATCAAGACCATATTCTTGAGCAAAATCTTTAGCCACCAAACGGGCTTTATAGTGTTCCACAGAACCATCGGCTTTGGTTTTAATCTTATACACCCATCGACAACCGACAATATGTTTACCAGAAGGCAAAGCAACAAGATTCAAAGTACCAGTCTTATGTAAAGCAGAAAGTTCCTCATTCATAGCCTGTTGCCAAAGAGGGTTAGAAACAACCTCCTTATAGGAGGTGGGCTCAGAAAGAGAGTGAATGGAGGATAAGAAAGTACAAAATTCAGAAGAATAACAAGAGTTAGAAGACCCACAACAAGTAGGACATGTACGTACCCGTTGAGGATACCGAGAAACAGGAGCCTCATTAGCAGGATAAGAAAGTACAAGATTCCGAAGAATAACAAGAGTTAGAAGACCCATAACGAGTAGGACATGTACGTACCCATTGAGGATACTGAGAAACAAGAGCATCATTATCAACAGGTAATGAAGAGGTAGCAGGTAATGGAGAGACAGCCGGAGGAGGAAGGGGAGGTGTACCTACAGGCAAAACATGTTGTTTCTTACGAGCATAAGTATGAATAATAGGAGGAGGGACAAAGGAGTGGGAAACGAGGAAGAAGATGAGGGAATATCAGAAGGAGGACAAATCGTGAACATAAGTATCAAAAGGGATATCATCAGGAAAATGATCAAGATAAATAAGATCAGATTTAGGGATTGTTTGGGATGATTTAAATAAGTGTACTTTTTGACTTTTTATGAAATATGAGTTGGATTTGGGTTGAATTTAAAGTGATGTGTTAGAGAGGTGATGTGACTTAAATAAGATGATGTAACTTAAATAAGATAGTGACTTTTTGACTTTTTGACTTTTTTGAAACTTGCCAAACCAACCCTTAGTGAAAGGAGTAGACGCAGAGTGAATAGAAAAGAGGGAGATATGTTCAAGAAAAATAACATGGCGAGAAACATAGAGATGTTGAGTTGTGGGGTCATAACAGCGATAACCCTTGTGACCGTCACCATACCTAAGAAAAACACACATGGCAGAACGAGCAGACAACTTAGTACGGGTTGCACGATAAAGAAGGACAAAACAAGTACAGCCAAAAACACGAAGAGAGAAATAGTTAGGAGGAGTACCATGTAACCGTTCAAAAAGGAAAATGCAACAAGTCACTTGGGAGGGTATGCGGTTAATAATATGAACAGCAATAAGAAGAGCCTCTCCCCAAAATGAGCTAGGAACAGAAAAAGAAATCAACAAAGAGCAAGTTGTTTCCATGATGTGATGGTGCTTGCATTCAGCCACACCATTTTGCTCAGGAGTTGTAGCACAGGAAGATTGTTGAAGAGTATCATCTGGCTGTAACAAGTGAAGAAAATCACTATCACGATATTCCCCACCTAAATCACATCGAAAATATTTAATAACAGAAGAGTATTGGGTTTGAATCATGACACAAAAAGCAATATAGATAAAATTCTGACCGGTGCCTCATCAAATAAATCCAACAGTGACGAGTATAATCATCAATAAAAGAAACATAATATCGGGAATCCCCTTTAGTGGAAATGGGTGCAAGACCCCACACATTAGAATGCATAAGATCAAAAGGTTTAGACGAAGTAGTGAAACTTTTATTAAATGGTAAAGCAGTAAACTTTGCTAGTTTGCATCCACTATAATTGGAAATATTATGACTACTCAAAGAACCTAAGACACCAGTAAAAACTAAATACTGTAAACGAGAACTAGACACATGACCAAGGCGAGAATGTCATAAATAAAAAACAGACGACTTAGGACTCAACCAAAAAAAAGACAAATCAACTGAAGATGCAGCAAGGGGAGGAACATGCAGCGTCTCCAGAACATATAAACCTCCCAACCTACGACCAATCCCAATCAGCTGCTTGAAATGAGGATCCTGCACAACACAACCAGATTCAAAGAAATAAACACAATAACCAATGGCATAAAGTTGACTAATAGAAATAAGATTCAAAGTTAACTGAGGAATACAATAAACATCCGAAAGAGAGAGTATCAGTCAAAATGGACCCAACCCCGGCCAAAGACATAAGAGTACCATTGGCAGCCAAGAAAGACAATAAAAGGGAGGAATCATGAGTCATATGATGTGTAGCACCAGAATCAAAAACCCATATGGAACGAGATATACCTGGAGGAGATAAGGGAGAGGAAGACAAACTAAGAGGTGAGGAGACAACTAAAGCATTTAGTGTATGAGTAGAGAGGAGTTTTTGCAGTTGTTCAGCAATAATAGTAAAGGATGGAGAGGAATCATCCACTGAAGAAGTCGTGGCAGCTGTATGTCCCTTTTTCCAAGAGGATGATTGGCCAAAATGCCTATCAGAATTCTTTCTCTAAGTCGGTGATTGCCCAAATGGTGGACAGCCCAAAAGCCGAGGACACTGAGCCTTCCAGTGACTTTTTTTATGACAAAAGCTGCATTCATCCTGTTAAAATCCACCCACTACACCACTACCACCTCACCTACTCCACTAAACTTAACCCACTACACCACTACCACCTCCACTTCACCTACTCCACTAAACCTAACCCACTACACCACTACCACCTCACCTACTCCACTAAACCTAACCCACTACACCACTACCACCTCCACTTAACCTACTCCACCTACCACCTACACTTCTATATATAGGAATCATTGTAACATTCAATATATCAATACATAAATCAATAATACAATTCTCTATTTCTCTTTATACATTAAATTTCAACATGGTATCAGAGCAGATTTAGAACCTAGTATTTTCGCTTCCCGACGGGCGGCAACCTCACCTTAGCCGCCCGCTGGACCTCAACCTAATCCGCTGGAGTTTTCTACACATACCTTAACTCTTCAATCAAGAGGGGGCGATTGGACAGTGATGGTAGCGAAGCTGAAGCTCATCTTGGCAATCTCAGAAAAGGCGGCGTTTCGGACGGAGGGGACTTCAGTGGTCTATCAGAATTCTTTCTCTAAGTCGGTGATTGCCCAAATGGTGGACAGCCCAAAAGCCGAGGACACTGAGCCTTCCAGTGACTTTTTTTATGACAAAAGCTGCATTCATCCATAGGAGAACGAGAATAGGATTTGCTGGGAGTAGTAGAAGAATGACCAATAGGAACGGCTAGAACTGTCTGAGTTGGCAAAGGAAGCAATCCTTTGCCGTGAGCTGTTTTGAAGTGAAGTTCTTCAGCTAATAACTCATTAACCACATAATCAACAGAAAGGAGAGAACTCCAATGCAATATAGTGCCGCGAAGCCCCTCAAAATTAGCCCTAAAGATCATTAAGAATTGAACCAGCCGCTACTCCTCCCGATAAGTACAATATGCCGCATGAGTGCGTAATGACTTAGGCTCAGTAAAAGCTAATTGATTGGATAGACCAATCATGGTAGAATAAAATTCCTGGATACTCTTTTCGCCTCGTTGAGTAGCATGAATCTCATGTTCTAACTGATACCGTTTAGCAAAATTTGATTGAACATACAACTGAGATAGATGATCCCAAATTTGTTTCGTAGTAGTGAACTTGGCAAAATGAATCCAATAAACTGATCTACAGAATTATTAATCCAAGTAATCATCTTGGTGTTAGTAACTTGCCAAGTAGAGAGTAAATCTTGAAACTTTTCAACATTGGCATCAGTGGGCATAGGAGAATCACCAGTGACAACATCCCGAATATTTTTACCCAGAATTTTTTTTTTCATGACATAGGCCCAATAAACATAATTATCTCCCACTAAATTCACGCTAATGGCTTGAAGTGAATCTGACATTCCACTAGACATAATATCAAAATATAAAGAACTTCACAGAGAAGACCACAGAGAAGTCACAGGACCACAAAGAAGTCACAACAACACAAAGAAGAAGAGAAGTTGAGGCAGATTACCTAAGTATCACACCTTCGAACCAAACGAGGCAATATTAGTCGTGATTAGAAGAATCAAACGCGACTGTGAGATGAGAGGGAGAGTTATGAGGGAGAAACAACTTAGACTATGAATCGCGACTTCTTGAGGCACAGACAAGCCCACTCGACTTCGACTTTGACTTCGACTTCACAAGGCACCAACGCGACTGTGAATCGCAACTTTGTGAGGCACAGACAAGCCCACTTGACTTCGACTTTGCAAGGCACCAACGCGACTGTGAATCGCGACTTCGTAAGGCACAAACAAGCCCACTCGACTTTGATGCAAGGGTGTATAGTGGCAAACGAAGAGAAGCAACCACAAGCCTGCCTTCAGTTCATACCAACACCAACGAGAAGTTAGCTTTCAAAACCTTGCTCTGATACCATGAAAACTTAGTAAGGAACTAAGTACCCGTATTATTCAAATTGAATGGAAACGAATTACAAGAAATATATATATAAGACAACTATGCTAACCCTAATTGCTACCACTGACTAAACTACGCTTAATACACATATACCCTTAATACACATATGCTTAACAGTGTGAAACCTAACAACATGTTCAGGCATATGGCATGTTTATTTTTGATGATGTTAGTGTTTGTCATATTCATGTAGACACTGCTTGTCTGTAGTCAACCTTTTGAAATCCTTCTCTTTTCCTTCCTCTTGTGTTTTAGATGAACTTTTCAAAGTTTAGGATTTTTATAAGGATCATGAGTCTTGACAAGGAGGAGGGATGCAGGATAATGCTAAACAACTGTTATTTTTAACACTGTAGCGAGAAAGAGGTACTTTTCTACTTCATTATCTTCTTGATATTCTAAAATCAGATGGTTCAATTTATAATTTCAGAGGCTGAAATCAAGACTCCTTGTTCTTGGCGTTTACTTAAAGGTTCCTTTGTTTTCAGTCCTAATGGGGACAGAACACACAAAGACGGGGGTTAAAAATGGTGATGGGGAGAAGCTCTCAGTTCCACCTGGTTTTGCGTCACTTACATCTTTTGTGCTGAAGAGGGTAGAAAATAGTGAAGAAACTTGTAGCTCCATGGCCTTGGGAATGGAATTTGAACCAGAACCAACACAGGTGGACATTACTTGCAGCATAAATGACATTACAAAGCTTAAGAGGTCTCTCAAGCGTAGACCGTGGTTACTTGATGATCAGTACACTCACAAACATGAGGAATCCGACTCTGAACAGCTTGATATGGTCATCTTTCTTCTCTTTCTTTCTTTTTTTTTTTCCTATGCATTATTTTTAAAATGTGGATTATATATTGATGCCACAGTATATTGACTGTTTATGAGTGAAAATTTATTTATTTGAAGTTCTTTTATATTCTGTAAAGGTATAGTGAGTAAATTTATTACTATTAGAGGGCATGGTAGAAGTGACGTGGAGTTCAATAAACCCGGTCTACTTTTATAAGAGGTTAAATATGTTTTAGTGCATTATAAAGAAAGACATTGCAAAGTTTAGAAAGTAAAATTAGGCATGAATCTATTTCTTCGAAGTTCAGCAAAGACGGATGTCTTCATTAGTAGGAGATATGAGCTCCGTGTTTATTGCTATGAGGTAAAGGACTAGCCCATGAAGAATTACTCTAAGATTATATAGGGCATGGTGATTAGTGACTAGCTACATGACCCTGATAATACAAATGGTGAAAAAGGTGAAAAAAAAAACTACTTTTGTGCATTATTCTTTCACATCCCATACTTATTGTTATATAATCAAATAGAATGCTATTTTGTGCAATTCAATGCAAATACTCTTGCTGAAAGCTAAGGCATTCTTTGTGTGCTCCTGTTCTTGCGAAAAACTGTATTGAACAACTTTGTTGGTCTGTGTATGTATTCATGATGCCTTTGGAATGGAAAACTTTAGCAATATTCTTCTGAAATCTGTGGGCCTTGGGCAGTGTTTTTCTGAAACCTGTGGGTGTGTTGCAGTTTTTATTTGAAATGTGTGGGCCTCTGCAAACTTTGAACTCAGAAGGCACCATTCCAATTTATATAGCATTCTAGTGTGGAATATAATTTTTGGGGATGAGCATTTAAAAAATATGCCATATTTTTTTGTACACAGTCAATTTTAAGTTTACTTGGAATGGCAAAATCCATTTCAAAACATAATTTTTAGATGGCTTCCATTTAGATGTATTCAGGATTATGAATTTGTATGGTTAAATGCTATTTATAAGTAAATGGGGCAGTTCAAATTGGAGGGGGTCGGCAAAACTGGCCATCTGTGTTGGAATTTATTTTAGGATTGTAACCAACATAGTGGGACTGAAAGTTAGCTGGTGCATAACAAGTGTCGCTTCTTTGTGTGTGACTAAGCTCGAGTATTGTGGTGAATTATGAAACTTATTGAATAAACCAGTTATTTTATTATGATGCTTGAGGATTTAATTTTCCTTGTTATGGAAATTTTGGCAATGTTCTTGTTCTAGTCGGTCTATGTATACGTAGGATTCAAATACATGGACTCTGCGGTTTGAGTGGAAGTATCTGTGTTGACATGCACGACGTGACATGGGTGCGGGTATGGGATCTGTGTTGGACGCAACACTGGTTATCAGCACAAAGACAACAAAGCAAAACAGAAAATTTACTTACAGTTGCCGATGTTTAGGTTTCCCAACTTCGTCTGCGCTGTATTATCATGGTCTTATTGTCGTCACCCAACCTAGATCGAGCCCCTTTGCCATTGAAACATATCAGAGCCCTAGGACCTGGTATACTCTCTGTTTGCCTTGCCTTCTCGTCTAATGGGTCATCGCCTTCAATCTTCTGTGTGTGTGTGTAAACGTTTTCTTGTCTCTTGATCTCTCAATTAATTTGTAAGATACTTGTGCACTGTTGGCTCTCTGTCTACCTGTTCCTTTATTTGAGAAGTGACACATGTCAATATTGAAAAAAAAAAAAAAAACACTTTGCACGTGCTAGACTTAGAAGAAGAAACAGTTTTTAGATCCATAAATCAAGGTTATAATCTGGTGTGGGGTGTACATAACGTTACCCATTTTCAGCATGTCATGATGTGTCATTTATTTTAATTAAATTGACATGGGAAATATATAATAAAGTTATTGAGGAGCTGCCACACCAGAGCAAAACTCATTTATTATAATTAAATGGGTCTTGTTAATGTGTGCTCTTAGGGCACCTATTAAGATGATTTAAAAAGATTGTACATTCTTTATTGCATGGGCGCACATTAACAAAATCCTAATTAAATGAGTTTTGAAAGTTAGATGTAGAATATAGAAGGTTAGTAGTTTAATATCACTGTAAAATACAAGCTTTATAGTTTTCCATATAAACTGTGGCATACACAAAGCAATCAAAAGCTTCCTTTATTAAATGGGAATTACATTAATTAAGATACATTTATTAGCTGGAAATTAAAGCTAATTTTATTTTATATTTTATAGCAGTTCTTTATTATTGCAACATTTGATATGTGGGAAAAAATTGGTGTCGAATGCTTTATGCCGTCTCCTCGTATCCCTATCCACTTTTTGGATACTTTTTAGACAAGTCTTCGTACTCTACAATTTGAATAATATGTTAATCCGATTTCTGGACACATACACGAGTCTAACGGCCATACCCAACTCTGGGTAACAGATGATAGGCCTAGCTGATATTGAACTTCTTCTGCAGAATATTCCTTCGAAGACTTGCCTTCCTAAAGGGGTGACCCGCGGATGTTCAATTTGTAGTAATTGCCAGAAGGTTTGAAGTTGTTTACCCAGTTGACAATTATTTATTTTATTGAACTACTGATCTCTAAGTAGCAAATCTGTAATTTTGATTTGTGGAAATTCCAATGCATTACCAGATTAAACTTCCGTCTCTTGCTTTATGCTTATAATCCATATTCCATCCTGATGTTTTGGACATCAATAAAAAAAAAATATCGGATAATGAATTTTTGGAACAGGTCACAGCAAGGTGGCGTCCAGAAGAGGCATGCATGACTGTATTTGAAGATGCTCCTGTTTTCCACCCATCTGAAGAGGTGTTTCTTTACAACTTCAAAAAATTAGTTTATGCATTTCATTTTTTTGCCTCGACTTTTTGTTGACATTATATTTTGTTCAGCTTGGTGCTTTGCCTGCCAGATATGAAATATTTGTCTGTCTTAATGAGTTTTGAATCTTCTTGCAGGAATTCAAAGACACACTTAAGTATGTTGCAAGCATACGGCCACAAGCAGGGTCCTACGGAATTTGTCGCATTGTTCCTCCTCCTTCATGGCAACCACCGTGCCTTCTTAAGGAAAAGAACATATGGGAATGTTCCAAGTTCACTACTTATAGTCAACGGATTAATGAGTTACAACATTTGTATTCAGAGAGAAAACTTGAGGGAAATCATGAGAAGATGAAGGGAAAAAGGAGAAGAACTTTGGGAATGAGCTTGGAATGTGGATCGGATGAAGTATTTGTCTCAGACCCTGATAAAACTGGGCATTTTAATGAAGGCTTTGAGTTCAAACCTGGTGAAGAGTTCACATTAGAAACTTTTAAGAAATATGCAGATGATTTCAAAAGGCAGTATTTTTGCATGGAGGGCAGGGTTACAGAGTCAGATGATAATTCCTCCGTGTTTGAAAACCACTGGGAGCCTTCAGTGGAAAATATTGAGGGTGAATACAGACGGATTGTTGAGAATCCAACTGAAGAGATAGAGGTTTGTTGGAGAAAGCATAGCTAGCCCATCGAGTGACCATTTTGTTAACTTGTTTTTATTTACCAGCTTACCTTATCATTCTGTTGTGATATTTTAGGTGCTACTTGGTCTTAATCTGGAATCTAGAGTTCTTGGAAGTGGGTTTCCAGTGGTATCAGATTCAGCAGAGACATTTGAGTATCCTGAATATGAAGAATCTGGTTGGAACTTGAATAATATTTCTAAGTTGCCTGGTTCTCTTCTTGCTTTTGAGAGCAACAAGACTTCTAGCATTTCGTTCCCTCGGCTCTTTGTAGGAATGTGTTTTTCATCTCTTCTTTGGGTGAGATTGTAAAGTTTTTCAATGCCCATGAATGAATTAACTTTTCTGTTTGATTCTTTTTGCTCTTGTCAATCCAATTTAATCATATTCAAACTCTTTCTTTCAGTATCTGGTTAAGCAGAACATGTTAGTTCATCCAGCTGCTTGGATATAGATTGATCATTGATCTGATTTAATTGTTTACTTTTGAGAAACAGAAAGTTGAAGAGCATCACTTGTATTCACTGTGTTACATGCATTTGGGTGCTCCAAAAGTATGGTATGGCATACCAGGACGATGTTACTTTAAGTTTGAGGCAGCTGTGAAAAAGTACTTTCCTGACGTGTTAGTAGAAAATTCTGGATTGCTTAATAAAATGGTGAGTAATGATCTCCTTATTATTCTATACTGCATCATGTTAGAGAAATGCTCCTGTTGCTCAAAAATTTAGATGGAATGCATGTTAGTAGTACCTTTGGGTAGTGTTTGGTTCACTGGAATGGATTGGAATGAAATGATCATCCCATCAAAATGTCCATTCCCATGTTTGGTTGACTAAAAAAATAATTGAAAAATACATTGCGAATGAAGCATTACTCACAATTGTAAGGGAATGATCATTCCATAGGGGAGCTTAAGGAATGACTATTCCATTCCATTTCATCTCATTCCAGTCAACCAAATAGAGCATTGGTGTTATATTTTCATCATAGAACTGGCCAAAGCCAATTGCTTTAATTTGTATTGTCAGAAATTTTTAATTGCATATTTTCATGTCAGAAAGATAAAATGTAAAATGGTTAATTTTAGATAAATGAAATCAGAAACATCATCAATCACTTTATTGACTTATGCCCCTCCAAGTAGGCTATAAGTTGCTTGACATACTTTTTGAAGGAAATGTACTAATATCATTTTTGCTTATATGTAGAATTTTCCTAGTCCAATCATGATGTCTGGATTCAGCCCTTAAGTGGTTCTTGACATTGCTTTCTCTGAAAGTTCCATGGTTTATAGATTTTTCCGAAAGAGGCAATATTTTTCTTTTTCATGTGAAAACTTCAATGGCCTTGTTTTTCACAAGAAGTATGGATTCCTAATGGATGATGATTGAATGGGATTGGTGTTGCACATTGTGCTCTCATCACATGAATCTTGTTCTTATGATGATGGACTGCATTACAGACAATAAAAAGTGCTCCCCAACAACCCGCCAACCACACCCCCCGGATGTCTTCATTAGTACCCCCTTTCTATCAATATCAAAATCAATCAGTTGTTTCAGGGTTTTCTCTATTACCTTATAGAGCGCTTTTCCACTCTCTTGTTGGGTGTAGTTATAAGTAAAGTTAAAGCGTCATTAGTTGGTGTGCCCAATGGGTGAAAGTTACCAGCATTATACATTCCATCATGCCACTTCACTTGTTTATAAAACAAAAGAGGTGCCCAAGGGTGTTGAACCTGCACAGACAGTGTGTGTGCATACACCTTCCCATTAACTAAAACATATGGTGGTGATTTGATGTTAAAGTCTCATTCAGGTGTTTCCTAGTTGTGAATTTGAATAGTGGTTTGAGAATCAAATAGGAAAAGATTCCGAGATGAAGTCATCTATCTTACAATTCTCACTATGGTATCCTTTATTTTCTGATTGTTTAATTTGATTTTGAGCTTTCTCATATTGACTATGTTTCTCGTGACTGGAAAGGTGATGTAGTAGAATAAAGGTGCCAAGTGTTAAAAATGAGTTGCATGTAAATGTCCACTTAGTGATTCAAGGGTCCTATTATTAGTTGTGTAGCCTATAAATAGGGTGATGTAATCTCATTTGTACATAGTGTAATTGAAGAATATTGACATTGATTAGAACAAAGTGTTCTGGTTCTCTTTCTAACCCTTGGGGGTTTTCCGCTAATTGGGGATTTTGTTCTCTTGATTTTGGAATTTTATTGCAAAATGGTTTGCACTAAAAGGAAACTGGGAATCAGTGAACCAATAATTTTAATTATAATTTAAATTTCAGTGACTTATTATTATGTTTTTTTGTTGATATGCGTATTATTAAAAATAAACTATATCATGGATATATAAATTCTTGGTACAGGTCACGCAACTCTACCCCTCCATATTGAAGTCTGAGGGTATACCTGTATATCGTTGTGTGCAGTATCCTAGGGAGTTTGTCCTTGTACTCCCAGGAACTTATCAATCTGGATTTGATTGTGGCTTCAATTGTACTGAAAAAGCTAAGTTTTCTCCCTTTGACTGGTTACCTCATGGTCAGAATGCTGTGGAACTTTATGGTGAGCAGGGTAGGAAGACATCAATCTCTCATGATAAGCTGTTGCTTAGGGCAGCCATGGAAGTTGTTAGGGCGCAATGGGAAATCTCATTAATGAGGAAGAACTCTGAATATTATCTAAGATGGAAAGCTTTATGTGGAAAGGATGGGATCTTATCAAAAGCACTTAAGGTAAGCCCCCACGTTTTGTGAATTCATATTGTTTCAGATAATAGGCACACTCTAGGCAGCCGGTTGTAAATTCCACATATGTACATGTCCTAATATGAATGTGAAATATGTCATCCTAAGAAGCACGGACACATGACACAGCACGGCATGGACACGTAGACACACAAATTCTCAAAGAATGCATGACACGACATGTTGCGGACATGTTTAAAACATATAGTTTGATATATTATTTTATGTCGTATCTTTTAATATATATGTTTATTCTATTTTAAATTTTTATTCTCATCAAATTCATCAACCTTAGCATGTCACTGAGTTCGTGAAATGTTTTTCTTTCTTGCATAGTCACGTATTAAGCAAGAAAGCTTGAGGAGGGAATATCTTTGCAATTCATCACAATCACAAGAGATGGAAATGGACTTTGACTCTACTAGTAAACGGGAGTGCGTTATATGTCTCTATGATTTACACCTTTCTGCCACAAGTTGTCCGTGTTCCCCAGACCGATATTCTTGTCTAAAACATTCAAAGCAGCTCTGCTCAGGCTCCGTGGAGTGCCCGATATTATCCTCTCCCGACTTCAACATCACCAGAGTTAAATGTCTCCGGTAAATTAAGTGCAGTTTATAGATGGGCTACGGAAAACCTTGGACTAGCCATGCGTACTCATTTCCCCATAGAAGAGTTTCAGGTACCCAGCCTTGTTGGAGATGGATTGCCTTTTACTGGGGCAAATCAAGAAGATTTCAAATCCCATAACACCACAATGACCAATGGCATCAATAGCAAACTGAAAGAGAAAGAAAATACGACAGCTTTTACAGTCAGTTCGGAGGGTGTCATATCTGATGCTTCCTCTGCGCAAACAAAGAAGCCGTCAGAAGTTTTTTCTGATAAAATTAGCATGCTGTGTACCTCACAATCTGAAAAAGAAAGGTCAGACCTTGGCCTTCAGTTTAAGGAAAAGGGAAGCTTTACTGTTAATTCAAATTTGCATGCTCGTCTCAGGAAAGGAGTCACACTAGTTGAGCCTCCACAACACAGTTTGTCTTATAAGCAAACTGTTTTGAAGGAAGGTCCTACAGGCATTTTGGCTTCTGAGAAGCAAATACCAGAAAAATCTTCCATCTGTCAAAGTAATGTTATTCTTATTATTAGTGATGATGAGGGTGAATAGCCAAGAGCCTACAGTGTGAATAAGACTTGATTTAAGTTATTGCAGGTTTTACTTCATACCGAGTCATTACACTCTACAATAGAATCATATAAAGTTGAACGTAGTGTTCTGCCATTGCTGTTGTTGATTGTAGTATTCAGGCCAGTTAGCCTGATCAACATTGTCTCGATTTTGTAATTATGACAGAATTTAAAGGTGTTTAATGTCAGCAGTTATTTGAAGAATCTTGTCTTTTGTCCGACTGTGCATGATGTCTTATCCTATCCAGCTTCTTCTCTTTATTTTTCCCTTCTCACTTGAGGACTTAAAATAGAGTAATTAGTTTGAGATGATCTGTTTTTATTGGACCTTACTAATGCACATTTTAGAGCTTTGTTAAAGCAGATGCTATGACTTGGAAGTCTGGGAATTGTCATTCAGATTTGCTCTATGTGTGACACCCTTTTTTAACATTTTGGAAGAAAAATCAAAGAATTTTCTGAAACTAAATATTGCCACTCCACAAATTCTTGGAATGCTTTAGGTAATGAGTTTTCTTATTGTCATTATCATCGTCATCATCGACATCATGGGCAGTGTCATTATCAGCATCATTGTAATAATCAGGAGTCACGAATTCATATTTCATGGGATAACACAAATGCCCTTAGATCAACCAATTAACTTTTAGAATTAGGTTTCAACTGATATCTAACCTTTGTTTGATCTCTGCACTATTCTTTCTGTTTCTCTTTCTTGTTTTTTCATTTTGCATTTTTTTTTTTTCTCAATTAGGGTTATGTTCTCATCTTCCCTCTCTCCCTTTTTACTGCATGTTTAAGGCACACAAGGATGGCGCAGGTTTTTTTTTCTTTCAATTTTTTTCCATCATTATTTTGCTAGCATGCATGCTTGTTGATCAACTATACTACAATTCTTATCGTGAAAACTTAGAGGCACCTTGATGCATTTGCTTAGCTTTTACTATTATCCTCTTTTTTTGTGTGTGTGGCTTTATGACATAGTTGGATCGATCCTATCAAGTGAATTAAGATCTGAAGTTTGCTTAGTTCTCCAGTATTAACTGAGATTTGTGCCTGTTGAGCAGAAAAAGTTTGAATCTAGAAATCAGTTTAGAATGACTTGAGGTTCTGATGGGAGAAATCCTCTTATTAAAGATCTGCAGTTCAATTTGAACTTCAAGTAGAGCCTTTTTCGAACTCTGTAGGCCAGTTCTTTCGCTGTTTTAATGCTGTTGCCTGTGGTACTCACTTTGTTGTAGTTCTTTCAGCTTGCACAACCGGTCTCTGCTGCTTGTCATTTTTGCCCTTCTACCTCTCTTCAATTGGCATCACAGAGAAATGAACATCTTTGGACTTCTCGGGTAAGATCAGATCAACCCGTGCTCTTAAATCTGATCTGTTTTTGAACGGGGCTTGAGGGGATAAATGATAAAATGAGGAGTGGTAGATACTAACATTCTGTTCTGATAAAATTCTTGGTTCTTTCACTGACTTGTTGCTCATTTCTCCCACTTTCAGCAGCTTGAATTTGAAGAAGCCGCCTCCGCTAGCATTCAAAGCACGCCTCTAATTCCCATCTATGGATGTACTTATCAGATGGTTACTTGTCGTTGATAACAAGTAAGACACTCATGTTCTTTTTCATGGCATCTTATACGTGCATGTTGAATAATTTAACAAATTCTGAGTATTTAAAATTTTACTCTTAATCTCTTCTTTATATTGCTGATATTTTACTTGGCATCGAATTTGAAATTAATGGTTATTCGGCTATAATAGTTTAATGCATGCAAGCAATCAAATATGTATCTCACTCATAACTAACCTACGAGTGAGAAAAAACTTCCATTTGATCCTTGAGAGATATTTTTTAATTGGACAAATACCAGATACTTTAGAAGTTAGGTTCCATGTACCAAAAAAAAGCTTAAAAAGCAGAGTAGACTCAGATAAAACATTGAAACAGATATTGAATTATCAGAAATTAGTAACATAACATCAAGACCATAGTTGATTTCCTACCCATTTTGTCTTGAAAATGTATACTTGTCCAACCTTGACAGATAGAACATATACATATATAGGCTTCGTTTGGCTACGGCTTTTTGACTTTTTGGTTATTTTAACTTATCTAAAAAAGTTGTGTTTGAGAAGTTCATTGGTTTTTTTTTTTTTTTTTTTTTTTTTTTTTTTTTGTAGTTAATTTGATAGTTATAAGAAAAAAGTGAAATAATTATGATTTAGATGTGATATTTTATCTTATTGACTGTTTTAGTCTATTTTATATTTATTGGCTACTTTAGCCACAAAAAGCCATGCCAAACAGGGCCATGATGTATATGTAAATGCATATTTTATGTATGTAGCTATGTATGTATGTTGAATTACAGATGTAGATAAAAGTATTAAATGAAGATGATGACCTAAAAAGAGATGAAGGAAGCTGTACAGACACTTCAATTAATATACCTATCTAGGGTAAAGACTAAAACAGTACACACTTCAAAAATTTTAAAAAAATAAAAAAATGCCAAGTTGGAAAATTATGAATTTTTTGTGTCAATAATAGTTCCATATATATATATATATATCTTGCCCCACGACCAGCAAGCCAGCCAAAACATTTATATTTTTAGTCAACACAGTGCACACTTACACTGAACAATTGGATGATATAATAATATAATAATATGAAAAATTCTATACTTGCTTAAAAATTATAAAAAATATGTGATAAAGCTAGTTTTTTTTTTTTGAGCAATGCTAGGTATCATGAAAAATTTTTCATGAAAATGATCATGAAATATTTATAACCTTTGGATTACACTTAAAATAAAACATCGCACATTAATTAAGGTAATTCAAGTATCATAAATTTTTCATGATCAGTTTCATGAAAGTTTTTTCATGATCCCTATCTTTTTTTTTTTTTTTTTTTTGTGAACAAAAGGGTACGCTTTCATTTAAAGTGTCTTTAACATTAATGTGAAGCTTGGAGATTTGTGCCCGATATATTTTGATCAGTAGGATTAATAGTGAGAGATTAACGAGTTGTAAATTTAGTGTAAGCTTGCTTATCTAATTAGATTAAAGAGATATTCCTCTTATTCACATTTATTTTGTAATGGATATATAAATATATAATTACAATTTATGTTTATTTTGTATTATTAATTGTAGGATTAAAAAATTTATCAATTTTGTTTGATAAAATATTCATAAGAATATAGCCTCTGTTTGGCAACTTAGGTTTTAGATTTTTTTGGCTATTTTAGTCACAAAAGATAAAATAGGCTATTTTAGTCATAAAAAACAAAACGTCACATCCAACCCATAATCATTACACTATTTTCTCACAAAAAAAAGTAAAAAAAGTTAAAAAGTCAAAAAATTCTTTCCAAACTAAGCTTTTTAGCTCAGGCTAAAATAGCTAAAAAAGTCAAAAAGTCAACCCACTTCCCAAACCAAGCCATAATTCGAATAATAAAATTTACAACCAAATAAGGAAATGTAAGTCTCATAAATTAATAATCACAATCCTATATTGTAATCTGTCCAATTATACAGGCCCATTTAAGGTCATGTTTTATTACCAGATTAAGTTAGGTTGAATTACGAGTATAGTGAAATTGAGTAATGAAATTATTACTGTAATGATATTAGGTTGGAGATGTAAAATAATTTGTGTTTCTTTATGTACTAATTTGGTGACATTAGTTCGTTGGGGATTAAGTCTCCGAAATAATGTAAAAGCTTTCATTTTATAAAAGGTGGCTTCATAATTTTTGTAAAGTATAAGGCAAAATAGTCTTTTTACTAATACCACATTTTTCTAAAAGTGTTAATCCCTTTTTTTTAAGGGTCTTCATGTCTCACAGACTCTTATGTTGTGTTTGGTTGAGAGATTTGAGGAGGGATTTAGAAAGGAAAATGAAAAAAGTAGGTGAAATATGAATAAAATATGCTTAAATTTTACATAGTTTCACACACTTTTTCTCTTTTCCTTTCTAAATCCCTCCCAAAATCCTCCAACCAAACACACCATTAGTCTCGGAGCATTTTCCCAACTAAACACATGTTTTTGTGGTGTGTCCAAACAATTGTCAATCCAATCCCATGCATCATGGAATAAAACAAACATAGCATAAAGATAAGGGTGATCAGTTAACTAGCTACCTTCAAGATTATTGAAGCCTCTAGTACTCTATTAAAATGAATAATATATTAAATGATCAAATATTCACGATGAAATTTAATTTATTAGGAATATTTAGGTTGTGTTTGGTTGTGCCATGCATCATGGAATAAAACAAACATAGCATAAAGATAAGGGTGATCAGTTAACTAGCTACCTTCAAGATTATTGAAGCCTCTAGTACTCTATTAAAATGAATAATATATTAAATGATCAAATATTCACGATGAAATTTAAT